TACATATTATTTATATATATCTATCTATATATATATATGAACATTGAACAGATAGGTATATCTGGCGTGTGACGGTTACCCATTGGAATGACTTACTAATTGGGGTCTGCGCAGAAGTGTATATTCTTATATTATTCTACGGTCGCAATTTTATTTTAATAAACCCATGAGTGACTTACCTCGCTACATAAAACTTGTGTATTACAGATTTTAAAAAAAATATTAAAAGCACCCAGCAACCAAAGTTTACACAAATTTTCTACCATACTGTAGATCATATCATTTTCTGTCAAACCAATATAAAATGATAACACGATTTCCGGAAACCTTGGCACTTTGGTCGGTTAGTCGCCAGACTCAACAATGCGAAACATATTATGTATTGTGTAGCATTTATGACCTTAAAGTTTGAGCGGTTATTAATCATAGCTTATTTTGTTACTGGAAATACCGTTATCTCAGTGTTTATTACTCATGAATAGTTATAATTATTATTATACGATAGTTATTGTACACTTGCACTCGCAATATGATGTACAGTGCATATACTATAAACAACTGTAAACACTATGGCATACTGGGTCGTATTGTTGACGGTAACTCTAACTTATCAAACGCATACCCAGGTATTTATATTATTATTATTATTATACTCCTCCGAGTACCGTTTCACTACCGAGAAAAAAAAATAAACAGTTTAAAACAACTTTAAAACAATACGTATTCTGCGAAAATCGTTTCCAAATGTCAGTGAATACGACCATTTGCGATGTTACAATAATTATTGAAAACCTGGTAGCCGGCAGGTAGTCAGCTTTTTAATGTCGTCAGTCCGTATATTATCCTCCCAATGCGTTTGTACTCATTCTAAACACGCATTATAATGCGGAATCCTCGTTCTAGTAGTTATAAAAAAAAACTACTCAAAAATATCCAATAATAATAGCCCAATGTTGAATACATATTTTAATACATTTAATTACAGCTCGTAATTGCATTTTTCCACACACATTTAGATAATCATTTGATGCAGTAGCTCAGAAATCGACAAATTTCACCAACTGTTCATTAGTTGAATATTTTAAATACCATCGTGATCATCATTATAGTATTCTCAACTATTTTCATAAGCGATTATTTCAATGAAGAATCAACAAGCAATTTGCTCAAAAAACTCGCTCGATTAAAATGTGAAATACATAAATAGTATGCCACTTGATGTGGATTACTATGAAATTTAAATGGTTATTAAAATATAACGGCAAACCCATATAAACCAAATTAAAAATTCTACTTTAATTTTAATGAATTTAAAATGATATCATTCATATATGCTTATATTAATACATAAATAATATTTTTATACAATGAGACTTCGTTTAGAAAATAAGCGTCCTAAGCAATTATGTATAAAATTATACTACATTTCGTAGAAATAAACAAATACAATTCTCGTTGAATTCAACATTACATCATGCTATTCATAGGAACCTACCTACTTAACAATACAATGCAAACCCTCACCAACATTGCAGATACAAATAACCAACAACAATTAATGAAACAAACTTAAAATCTATACAAATACATATTTTTTTTAATCACTGATCTTATCACCGACCCTAAAAATCCAGATGTCCTCAATATTAAAATACTAATTTGTCCCCCAAAACTAGACTCATTCATATTAAATAATAAAAATTAACAACAAAAAAGCTCAAAATGTTGTACACCACTATCAAGAAAATACTTATCTATAAAATGTCCTAATTGAATATCGGACAGCATATCAATTAATAGTTCACGATCACTGAATGATGTCCTATAGGCTATAGCTAGGTATGACCCAGCAATGACACCAACATCATAATATTTTCTGATTTGATCCAACTGATCAGACTAATCTAAAATGGATTTGAAAAAATCATATTATGGTATTAACTGAATAATGCTGTTATATTTCAGTCTGGTTAAATGTAAGTTACAAATCAATTACTCAGAATAGAATAATACTAATACATTTATAAGCTCTTATAAATGAAAATAATACATTTAAACCACTTTTCAATTATTTGGGTATCACAAACCGATTTTGTTGAGCTTTATTTACTGCCTATATTTGCGAAAATAAATCCGTGGTTCACCAATATTATTAATTATATTTAACTTTGATAAAAAATTAAATGAACAAAACCAAATTGTCAATAAATTATGCATTAAACGAGCGTGAAAAAATATTAGAATATATGTTTCACTTTTTTATTTGGTAATTGTTTTCGTTTCAAGGTAAAATTATAAAAATGTAACCAACAGTTATATTGTACTTATAATATTATACAATTAGACCCAATACATAAATCCAATAGTTATGAATTATATTTTGAATACAAAATTAAAATATTAATCGTTTGATTTCAATTTTCTCATACTAAGTAACATAATTTAATTTTTTTTTTTTATATTTATGTATGGTATACAAATAATAAAGATTGCTTTTTCAAAATAATAAGTGTACGTATCCGAGTTTAGCGTTAGCTTAAACTCAGACCGGGTAATAATAACTATTTTATAAAATGAATATTATCTAGAAAGTATTTCGTCTTAAATATAATATTACATTATATAACGATTTTACTATACTGATTTATAATATTATTTTACTTGATCGCTTTTATAAAATATTTTTCCACACAATTTCATTGAACGGTGTGCAAGATTTGTGAATCGTGTTTCATCGTCACTGAATATAATAAAACGGAAGAGCTGTAATGAAACACTATAAAAATTCGTATGGTAAAATCGTATACGATTTATTGGTATAGTGTTGTAGGTGTATCCCAATTTTTTGAAAAACAGCCAATGGCGCGTCGATGACGAGATAACGATGGTGATCATTTTATAACTCGCTGTTTTCAAGTGTTTTTCGCGTTTTCGTTGTTGGGTTTTACATTAATTTTGTAATCGGTCGCGTACCTGCGCGTAAAGCGCATTTTCAATCACCGGCAAGTGAACAACAATAATAAAAGCCCGCGAGGAAAAAAAAATAAAAAAAACGTACCTATAACCCGAAAACACACTCGGGAAACCCCTCCGCGGCGAACAGGCCCAAATTGAATCCTGCAAACTGCCGAGAGCGCGTTTACCCGTTATGTGCGTTCTATATAGAGGTATATATAAGCTGCGCTGCCGGAAGTGCTGATAATTTCGATTGTTGTAGCACAAGGGGCCTTCCGGTGAAATTAGTCCAGTCCAGTATGAAATCTGCAAGCCACGCGCACCGTCATCTGTCATTACACGCGGCGCGTAAACCGTAGCCGAACCCCGGGAACTGCGACCGGATTTCGATTTTCAATATCCGCCTCGCAAGCGCCTATACACACACGCGCGTACATATAATACAATTTATATACCATATATTATACAAGCGTATACGGTATAATTTTAAGGGACTAAACCGTCGACGGGTGGGGGGAGGGGGGGACAAACGCAGGAGCGGCGGCCCCCCCGTGTGTATATATTGTATCTATGTATAATATATAGTCGCGTACACTCGTACGTAACAGTCTAGTCGATTGCGCAGTCGCAGAATATATAACATTATTGTTGGCACGGTATAACGGATATTTTTTTTTATCCTCCGCGAATCCGACGTGTTATTAGGTTCGAGAACTCATATTACGTATATTATTACGAGATAATCGACGACGCTCCCGATAATCCAGATGCCTGCAGTGCCATAAGCTATAATCGCCGTGTTATTGTTATAGTACGTTTATGACAAGGTGTATATTGCATATGAAGTCGTCATTTAGTACAACGCGTTTTTAATGAAAAAAAAAGCCAACCCGTTTTCAAAAATATTGTTACTCTTACGCAATTCACGAGACTTAATATACATATATTTTTATATTATTCAAATCCATGATTCTGAGAAAAATCCTGGGTGATGTGCTCATATAAGCTACATCGTAAAACAACACAGTTAGACGGCACGAAATAAATTAAAAGTTCCCGGAACAATAACAATATTATCAACGAAAATTTAAAATAAATACAAGGTTCTGAATTTGTATCTATATTTAAAAACAATGTATTCAATATTATATTATCTTACAAAGTATAAACCAAGAGTATTTGCGGGTAAAGGAATAATTACATATTATAAGTCGTATGTCTATAAAACAAATATAATAATACTAAATTGATGACAGCAAATAAGTACATAACGTATACTAATGGCGTTATTTCATAAAATACTTGGATAGTAGATACTCCTTCTTATTCTTATCAGTCTGACCAAATCAAACCGAATTACCGTGACAAAGCTTCGTCTAAGGTACAATGAGACAGTGTGAAAATAAGAACCCCATTCACACGTGAAGAATTATTGATAAAATACATAATTTTAAGACGACAAATTTTTGGTATGAACGTCAATGAAAAGTTCTAATTTAAGTTACATTTTTTTCCATCCAGCCCACTTAACCCAATAATATCATAGTCATTTTGCTATCATTAAACAACTATAAGAAAAATAGATATCGAGACACCGACACGTGTGTCTCGTTTCCTGTACGTGATCATGTGCAGTGGAAGTATGGCAGACCCGCGGGGTTTGTGGAATACGCACCGCAAGACTTGTATGAGACGTGCCTGGAGCTCATCGATGGCTATTTTTAATTCGGTAGGTTTTCGTCCGTCAACTCTCACCCATCGTTTACTCGTTTTTAGTGTTATCTCGGCAGTGCCTGACGACGTAATCCCGCATTCCCGCTTTGTCACGACTTTAGTAAAACAAAATATAATACTATAATATATTTTAATATTATATTGCTTATTATTGTTATCATTATTAATATTATATTTGTTATTTTGTAATTTTGTCAAAGTTATACATTGACAGTTATTATCATGGAATGTTTTCCCGATACTGTAATTAATGAAATGATTAGTACCTAATGGCATAAACATAATAATTATTCATATTTTTTATTTTTCAGTTCCACCAGTAATTGCGGTACCCAATCAATTACTAGGAGCGCCAATAGGCACAGACGTGACACTCGAATGTCACGTGGAATCCTACCCAAAATCTATCAACTATTGGGTCAGAAATCGAACAAAAATGTTGATGGACGGGTAAGATTATTTTATTTTCTAAAACGTTTTCTATGGAAAAAAATACGCCACATAAGACTCGAAAGACTAGACATAGACTAGACTGTGCAAAGCGTGTCTTATAATTTTTGCAAACAAACTCCATTACGAGTTCAATTAAGCTTACCATTAAAAATGTATGGTTTGTAAAAACAAATACGATATGGATAATACTGCACGATGTCCATAATTTATTGTACGATATAAATTCTATAGATTCCAAATATTGACGAAAAGATGATTTCGTCCGGAAAATATTTTTTACCAGGCATAACTTCTATCTGCAGCGGCTAATAATCCGATCACGTCTTTTTCGACGACGATAAATTCTGGTACTGCTGTTATATTTACCTTGAAACACAGTAATATTTCTGATCCGTAAGATTTATCTATTAATATGTGGAACTTGAGATATATTATATGATTGAGAATAAAAACCGACTTAGTACAACGAAATAAAAATTATGATTAATATAACGAAACTTCAATGTGAAATCGGGTAAAGGACACTACGGTATAGTTGTAGGTACCTACTATGGTGTTTGAATTGAGAATAATGTCTTATGTCAATTATTATTGTTGCCGTACCGCGCCGAAGGGAATCGAGTTGGCTTATTGTTTTTGTTTTTCGTTCTAATTAGCAAACAATGAGCGAAATAATAATTAACATCGATCGAAATAACGTTTATTATAATAACGAAAAAAGAGCAACAGCGATAACGAAGTAAAAATAGAAAAAGCTGATAGAAGGAATTTCCAAAAGATTTCAAATATAATGGAATACTTTTCATATACAAATTATTTTTCGGGTGGTAATTATTAAACTTGAACGTTTTGTCGGAATACTTTTGAAATATGTTCATTTACAGCCCTACAGCCACTAACTCCCCCCCCCCCCACAACCGCCTCCTCTGCAAAAGCCAGCGCACCGTCGTCACTACCGACTATGATGGCATGTTCCCAGGAGAGAGCTGAATTTACTTAATTTCATTTTTTTTTTTCGACAACAAATTATTGTTGCCTTGTCGAAATTATTACGAGAAAGTTGTTCAAAATGAAGGCAAGGTGGAAATTCAAATTGTTTCGTATACAAAAACAGAAGAACGCCCTTCTTCGCACGGCAGTTTAGTTTTGTACGTCCTTAGAATGCATAATGACCGGAAGTGCTCTATTGCATTTTCCGCTCTCGTGTGGCCGGACCCTACTCTAAGGTGCTTATGGAAAATATTTAAAAATCTTTTTCTCAAACATCCTATGGATTTATTTTTTGAAAACTCCTCCGGGTAGCTCTACAGCTCGGCCTTAACAAATAAAATAGGATAACTAAACATTCCGATGGTACACAATTATTAACAATAGGTTATTATTAAACAATCGTAATGTATAAACAATGTCAAGTTATTTTTTGTTTAACGGAAATACTATGTGAAAATACATTTTTCTACGAAAGTAGTAAGTAATAACTTATGGTCACAAATAATTATCGGTTCAGTTAGCTGTTTGTACATTATTTCTTTGGGTTTTAACAGTGTTTGTTCAATGAATAATTTGAGCACAAAACTCATTTATTGCTTCATATTAATTCCTAAAAAGTATAAAAACGTTCTGTTATTTTATTTTTTTAATTACAATAAATGTAATGAAAAAAATCTGACGATACCAATATTTTAACATAGTTTTAATACCATTTTCATTATTTTATGCAGATTTTTTCAACAAAAATGTATACGCTGTAACTTTGAGGAGAATTTAATTCTAAAATGTTCGAGTGCCAAACACGAGATAAGGTGTTGAGGAGAAAACGCGCGTATATATAAGCCTTTAGTACAATATGCATGAATGGACAGTGACATGTGAGAAGCCAGATGGAAAAACATTTTATATCTCTTTTCCCAAAAAATATATAAAAGAAAGAATTCTACTTTACACCCTGTAGAACATTATAGATTCTCAATATAAAAAATATATATTAAATTCTAAACCACAGGAGGTTTGAATAAAATAACGTCGATGACATTTTTTTTAAAGGTTTTTTTTCGGTCCATGATTTAACTAAACAACAACCGTCAAAAACCAATCAAAACAACGAATAAATCGATAATAAATGTTGACTGTTTTTCACAGATTGCCAGTAGATAGTTCACCTATTTCATTTTGGATCAAATTAGAAATGTAAAAACTGGATGCACCATCATTTCGCTTTTATCGATTCGACGATTCGAACAATTGGTGCAATAATAATAATAATATTCGACTCTGACGTTACGGGTAGTTCATAGCGTAATCCAGTCACGTCAAGCATGCGTTCATAGTATTAGACGTCACGATAATAAAACGTGTAAACGGATTTATGTGGAATAACAACACAGACGGCGACAATTGGAAGTGGTGACAACTTCACACCGCATACAAATGTCCCAGTTAACGTGAAGAAAGAGGCGTACAAATCCGGATTTACGAGTATAACGCTTGTTAAAATGACAGTGAAAATAATCCTACATGGGAAAAAAAAAGCCATAGACAATCCCGATGTTTTGGCTAGGGTCTGTGAACAGTCTGAGCTGAGGTTATAATTAAATCTTCAAAATACGAGACATAATCTGGCGAAAACAATTCAGAGCGTAAAACATATTATGCATAATGCAAACAAAATAAATTTGAAGAAATTAACTATTTTATGTTGTAATCCACATAATGTACACCCTTGGACTATTGTTTTTACTTTCTTAAGACCTCGATAATTGAACGTTATGAAATTCGTATGACCGCACAAAAACTTAACAAGACCGTTTATGTTTTATAAGAATTTTCAATAAACATTTTACGTGTTCTTTAAATTTTTTAATTTGTGTATACGCTATACAGTTTTAAATGAATTAATTACAAAGTATTCATTTTAAAATGTTCGAGTATATTTTGTGAAAACAAATGTTTTAATTGGTTCCATGAGCGAAATAGTTTCTAGTATATACTATACAAAGTTCTTGGTGTAAAAAATTTAAATTAAATATATTTAAAAGAGCAATTATTTTTCTTAGGGACATATTTATGATAGCATAAAAAGGTATAGAAATACATCAAACAAATCAAAATATATTATCAAACACTCAAACGTGTAAAACAAGAAGTCTCCGAAAATTGATTGATTTTATTTCATTACTACTCGATAACCCTTTGATTTGTAGTCGGGAAATTTTAATGTTAAATAAATAATAATTCACAATATAGAATAATTAAAAATAACAAATTAAATTAAATTAACCCTTTTTTGTTTTCTTTTATTCTTTTACCAATATGTTTGGCTTACTTTTTAAACATAGACAATAAATAATAATAACAATGTAAACAGAAGATATAAATTATAAGAATAACCATACTAAATCTGCTTTTTATATGATTTTTAAATATATTAGTTGAAACTATATTTAAAATGAGATTTATTATTCACAAAAATCAAATTAAAATCACCTTACCAAAAAAATCTGGCTGGCATTTTTAATAACCAAAAACATCTGTATAATATTATAGAAGATACACATTCTTTATTAATGTGCATACGACTTAATACATAATCACAATAATTTCTTTGAAACTGTTATAGAAACGTCGAATTGTTGAAGTATAAAAAAATATTTTCGGTTAACTTATAGAAATTAGAATGGGTACAAGGTTTATTAAACGTTTTTTCTTGAAGTTAAATAAGATTTTCTAGAAAAATAATAGGATTCATGAAAGTTTGAAGCCTATCAGAAATGAATATTTAGGACCCTTGGCTGAGTACATACAGAAATATTGAAGTGAGATACAGAGCTAATCAGCAAAAAATTATAATAGAAAGCACATACGTGGTGGTATTATAATAAAACATGCGACAACTTCATCGTTTGTATGAAATCAGTCTTAGAACTATTATTTTAATAATTTAACTTCACCTTCAAATGCATAACCCGCGTACATGCCGATCAAGAAAAACTACTTAGAAAATCCTTCCTTCTGGAAAAAATCGTTCACAAAAAAATATGAAATAAAACGGTTTTAAGTTTCATTTCATAAAAAATCTACATTTCACATCACTTGTTATTTGCTTCACTTGAACTTCCAAAATTCAAATAATTATGATAAATCTTAAAACATTTTCAACGGCGTTAATTAGTGTACACGACACATAATTTCAAATATATATTATATAGCATTGACACTCGATTGTATGCGTAAGAGAAAGCCGATAAATATAATAATAATAATAATTAACAGCACAAGAAATGTGACTGCAATGGGACGCCTTTTATGCAGCACGCAAGTGTAAATTTTCCTCTGCGGGGAGGCATCATTAAACACACATAAGACGATTAATGAGAGTCGAGATTGTATGAAAGCAGTTATGGAGGCGGCGGGTGGTTGTTTTAAGAAGCTAGGAGCACACGATTATCCGAGGAATAATCGCACCTACTGGTGCGGTGACGAAAAAAAGAACCCCAAAGAAATAAAACCTTCGAAGGAGAATTCGGGGAGTGGGTTGTAGACGTTGTATAATAAAATACGAAAAACAAAAAATTAAAACAAACAACCTCTTTCGGCTTGGTACCGCACACCAAAGTCATTAATTATACATTTGTCCCTAATTTCTCACCCTTATCCACCGGCCGCCAACGACGTTGTCGCTCGCTCCTTCCCAGAGCAGGATTTTCACGTATACGCCGTGCGACATTGGGGGCGAGGGTGACCTTTCCCCGTCGCGAAAAGTCGTCTATACATACATAATATAAAAGATATCGTTTTTATACTCTCAGCAACGAGCACGCACACACGCACGGCACCCTCTCCACCGCCGCCGACCTCTCGAAAACCCATCATCAGACGGCGGTGGCGGCCACAATGGCGGTGGTAGTGGCGACGATGAGCGCAGAAGTTTTTGACTAATCTGTCGCGTGATTAATGGCCGGACGAAAGTTTTGAGCTCGCCCTTCCTCGTCTTCCGGGGC